GGTGGAGGCCATCGCTACTAGGGTGGAGGCCATCGCTACTACGGTGGAGGCCATCACTACTAGGGTGGAGGCCATCGCTACTATAGGGTGGAGGCCATCGCTACCAGGTTGGAGGCCATCGCTACTAGGGTGGAGGCCACCGCTACTAGGTGGAGGCCATCGCTACTAGAGTGGAGGCCATCGCTACTACGGTGGAGGCCATCGCTACTACGGTGGAGGCCATCGCTACTAGGGTGGCCATCGCTACTAGGGTGGAGGCCATCGCTACTACGGTGGAGGCCATCGCTACTAGAGTGGAGGCCATCGCTACTAGGGTGGAGGCCATCGCTACTATAGGGTGGAGGCCATCGCTACTATGTTGGAGGCCATCGGTGGAGGCCATGGCTACTAGGGTGGAGGCCATCGCTACTGGGTTGGAGGCCATCGCTACTAGGGTGGAGGCCATCACTACTAGGGTGGAGGCCATCGCTACTAGGTTGGAGGCCATCGCTACTAGGGTGGAGGTCATCGCTACTAGTAGCATCCACACCACGAGATTTATATACAACCCGTCTCTGCTGGCCGTGGCCGGCCGTGGCGGCGCGATGGCGATGCCATCTGAGGCGTCGTGCCAGGCATTTTCCGACTTTGCCGCCTCTGTCGGCCCGTGATTTTCATTGCAGTGAGCAACTTGGGCCAACGGGAGTTGATGCCAGAAGTCCTGTAAGAACGCTCACTTATCGCGATGGAGTTGTCATGCCTTTTGAACTGGGTACATGTTCACTTTTAATCCCACTCCCTGATTTGTTTTTAATGGCAGTTTGCTTGACCATAGTTGTTCAGATTCTGCACGGCATATTATTGAAGAAGCTGTGTCAGTTCAAGGTAAATTTGTCCGAATGACGGTGAACCGATTGTGGCGGTCCTGCTTGCGTTTCTGGGAGATCTTGGCAGCATTGGTAGCCACCTGGAGAATATATACCATGCCAGCTAGCAGTCATGGAGTCAGTTTTTGTATGTTTTGGTTTTTGAGACTCCCATGCAACTTGGCTTTTCAGCTCAGGTTGCGGTGCTGTTCTTCGTTTGGTTTGCAATCGTAATGTTCTCGCGGAGCGAAGAAGGCGATCGTATGTGATCACGACATCGCGAACAGCTGGAGTGAGTGTAGAATGTAGAACTTTTAGCTTGTGTCGTTGGCAAATTGGTTTCCGAAAATGCAATACCGCAATTGACGATGCGACGGTGCGTGAAACTGATAATTAAGTAACTGTAATTAGTTAGTGTTGTGTTCTTTACTGTGATACATCCGACTTACATACACAGCTTGCAACCGCAACAATTGGCTTTTTGACGGTTTGTGTGTCGTTGCATGCTCCATGAAACTCAAGAACTATATACACAGTAAATATGAATTACAAATACTCTGAGATGGGTAAGGTGGCTGTGGGGCTTTTGGCATGACGAGGCCGCGAGCACTTCCAGGATTGGCCAGAAGCATTGGCCTCACTGTTACTTGGCCCTTTTTATATTTAAGGGCTGCCGCCCCTGCCGCTGACCCCGGGATATACACCAACAACAGCAATCACAGCAGCAGTAGTAAGAAGAAGACCCAGAAGCATCACAAGATCAGAAAAACCACTAGCAACAGGCAGCAAGAAGCATAGTAGGAATGCCTCTGTTCTGGCTGTGCTAATAGACTGGCGGCTGTTTGCGGGGGCTTTGTTGGACAGCCCAGGTGCTGAGCCAGCAAGGCTTGTGCTGCGGCAGCCCTGGTGCTGACCGTAGCACTTC